CATCAGGATAAGCAGGACAACTAAGTGAGCCAACCCCTCTCCCCTTACCCTATTTACCCGGACCTCCACACTAGCCAAAACCAGCCTGAGTCAGTTTGGCAGCCATCTTAGTATCCTAGGTGACCTTTAGGTCATTAAGTGTTTCGTGAATCTTAACCTCTCCACCTCTGGGTGGCATTTTCAGCTGCCATTTTTTTTTATACGTGTAAAGTATGGAGAAGTGTGTAATCCTAACTGTACCTGTGTAGAGTGTAGAAGTATGTACACCCATGATTTTGTATGACTTCTTGTTTTATAAACTGTATATATAAGGGACACTTGAAGGAGCCTTCCTTGAAGCAGTCTTGGAGGCACTAGTCCCAGCTATTCCCTTCTTTGGTAAGAGAAATAAAAGTGCCTTTCTTTCTTGGTCTCTTGTTTATTGGCTCCAGTGAGCCACACCAAGTAGAGCCTGGATTTTTTTTTTTTTTAATTAGGATTTGGGTGAAGATTTACAGAGTAAATTCACTTTTCATACAGCAGTTCACATATACTTTGTCTCATGTCATTGACCAAAATTTACAATGCAGCAGCTCCCCTCCCACTTCCTCCCCATAGTTACCTCCTCCCAGTGTCCATCCCTTCATACTCTTCTGCACCCTGAGCTATCTCCCTGTGCATAAGCAGCCCTTCCTTCTCCCATGATTGTTCTCTCCAGGGCATGTGTCTACTTGAGGTAAATGTTTAACTCACATGCCTGTACTTTGTTTGGCTGGAAACCACAGTTGTGGGTTCAATTCCAGACCTGAAGGGCAGCTAGGGGCCATAGTCTCAGTGGTTACACCAGGCTCTATTGGACCAGCAAACCTGGTCCCCACTTTCTTAGAGCCTGGATTTTTTAACCAGCAGCACAGTGACTGCGACATGATAGGTCCATAATAAATAATGTTTGGTTGAATGAGTCAATAAATAAACTTTACCCAAGTCAAACTCCTAGAAAGCCCATAATTTCAGATGGCAGGGTTTTTAACTTTGTGTCAACAGGTGGTCCATGGAAATCCTGGAACTGTGAGTAATATATTTTAACTAGGTCTTTGTGCCACCCTATCCCCACTGAAAAGACAAAGCCTTTCCCATCACCCAACATTGGGTTTTCATCACATTTTAAAAATACTCACCCCCCCCCAAAAAAAAATGTAAAGAGGTTTTTTCTAAGAAAAGCTATTGGAAACGTAAGAGTTTGGTAATGGTGAGTTTTGGGTTTGCTTGCTGGCAACATCTTCCAAAGAAAACTGCATCCCAGGCAGGTCTGGGGAGGGCGAGAGAGCCAACTCCGATCTCCTCCACACCGGCCCTTTGGCAGATCACTGTGCCTCTGTGGGTCCCAGTCTCCTCATCTGTGTTGGGTGAGGATTGAATGAGATCATGCACCAAACAGGCTAAATGCTGTGAATGATGCTCAGCACATAAACAGCAGCTCTACCATAGTCATCGCTTATGAAGAGATGTTCCTCATTCTGCCACCATTCTCTCTGGAAGCACCAGGAGGGGGTGGTGGGCAGGAGAGGTACTTGCGTAACTTACCTTTCCCCTTGAAGTAGCTCTCCCTCCACCTCCTCAGGCAGGTCTTCTCTCTGACACCCCTCCGCCCCCCACCCATCATTGGCCAAGTCTCCCTGCACTGGGCCTTTGCAGAGCACCTCTCATCTCCCTTCACAGCTGTTTCCACTCCATAACCGTATTCTCTGTTACAGGGATATTTGAAGACTGTTGGCTCCCCTATGAGTGCATGAGGTCCAGGAGAGTGAGGACCTTGCCCGGCTGCTCTTCATTTGATCCCCAGAGCCCAAAGCCCTGGCACTTCCAAGTTCTCAAAGATTTTGCTGGCTTATTTGTTGAATTCAAACAAACAAACAAACTCACTGCCATCTTGTCGATTCTGACTCATAGCGACTCCCTTTGGGTTCCAGAGATGACACATCTTTACAGAGGTTCATCATCCAGTCTTCCTTTCACAGGGTGGCTGATGGATAAATGACAGCAAATCCCACCATCTCATCAATCACACACAACCCCACCCCTCCCCAGGCCCATCACAACCTTGGCTGCCATTTCAGCCTCCAGTTGTAAGTCCTGCCCACTAAGAGTCCTTGGTTGATGCAAATGGTTTACTTGTTCATCTGCTAACCAAAAGGTTGGAGGTTCCAAGTCCACTCAGGTGACTCGGAACAAAGATCTGGCAATCTGCTTACAAAAAAAGTCAGCCATTAAAAACCATGTGGAGACAACTTCTACTCTGACCTACCTGAGGGCACCATGACTCAGAACCAACATGATGATAATTGGGTTGTTTTTAAGGGTTGCCAAAATTGTCCTGCTGTCATTATGAAGGTGCTCAACAGAGATAGCTCCTTTCCATATGGTGCACTTACTGTGTCCCAAGAATGGTCTCTTCATACCTGTAGGCCCTCATGACATTGATTCCACCAGCTTCTCCATTTACAGACGAGGTAGCTGAGGTTCAGAGAGGGTGAGGATGACAGCAATAATAATAATAATAACACACTTTCTAAGCATTGACTTAGCAGGAGCCCATTATTCCTCACTACAGCCTGAGATCTGCACCACTACCTGCCTCCAAGGCCAGATTTGGAAACCAATTTCCATTTGCCATGTGACTCGGTGTCAAGCTGGCTCCAAATCCAGAGCTCACGCCTGAGCCCAGCCCAGTCTGGTCTTATCATGCATCAAGCCCAGAAAATCTATACCCGACACATACTCATTTCTTTAGAGGCCATGACCCTGAGAACTACAATCTGTGATGATGGGTCAGAGCTGACAGCCCCCAACCCGTGACGTCCAAAGAGCCAAGATCAACAGCGTTGTTCCTCTAAACAGTGCCCACTCTTCTCCAATTTTCTTGACAAAAATAACAAAAGTCCCACTGGTTACACAAGACCAGGAAGGCTAGGAAAGTACATTTCAAAGTAATTGATATTCTACAAACATCCCAAGGGGAGTGTTAACCTGGGAGAGGACCTCAGATGGAGGAATGCCATCACCCAGAACTAATGTTTTCTTTTGAAACCAGAAGTGAAGTGCTCAAGAAAGGCCTGGGGCTTTTGTGAAATTTGCAGAGGAAGTTCTCATCCTTCATCTGGGTGGAGCCCTGCACACCTCACCTCCACCCCCAGGCTTGGGGGTGGGTGGGTGAGGGGAACAGCACCAGAACTCTGAAAAGTGCCTTTGTCTCAGAGTTCCCAGCAGTGGGACTGTGGGACCCAGGCCCTGAGGCATGTGTGACTGGAGTGGCTTGGGCAAGGGAAAAAGTGGTGAAGGTCAAGTTGGAGAAGAATGGGGAGCCCTGCAAGATCTGGCAGGCATTGCATGGAGGCTGGCTTTTGCTCTGTAGGCGGGTAGGACCTTTCAGGAGGAGTGGAAAGAGATTGTAGTGGTCAAGGGCAGAAGCTGAGAGATTATTCAGGTGAAGAGGACGGTGGCTGAGAAGGAGGTGGTTAGAAATGGCCAGAATCAGGATGTGTCCACAGGATTTCCTGACAGAAGCATAGTGGGAGAAAAGAGGAGTCAGGAATGGTTCCAAGTGCTGGGGCTGGGGCAGCTGGATGGATGATGGTGTCTGTGTTTGAGATGGGGAAGACAAGACCTTGCAATGATTTGAACTGAATTCTCTGAACCCCAGCCCCAGGGCTCCAAAGTAAACCTAATGCTTTGGCTTCAATCATCTCTGTCCTCCTTGTATCCAGAATCCATCCATCCATCCAAACATTCATTTATTCATTTTTATCAGTTAACAAACATTTATTAGTAACTACTATGTTACAAGGAGTCCTGGTAGCATAGTGCCTAAGGCACTTGACTGCTAACCAGAAGGCTGGTGGTTCAAACCCACCAGCCACTCCTTGGAAGGAAGGTTGGGCAATCCTACTTCCGTAGTGATTGTTGTGTTGTTGTTGTTATGTGCCATCGAGTCAACCCGACTCATAGCAACCCCTCCTTGGGTTTCCAAGGCAGTATCACTACGGAAGTAGGATTGCCCAACCTTCCTTCCGAGAAGTGGCTGGTGGGTTTGAACCACCAGCCGTCTGGTTAGCAGGCAAGTGTCTTAGCCACTATGCTACCAGAGCTGCCTCGGAAACCCAAGGAGGGGTCGCTATGAGTCGGGGCCGACTCGATGGCAAATAACAACACAACAACAACAATGTAACAAGGAGTCCCTGTGTGACACAGTTAACATGGTTTGCTGCTAACGGAAAGGTTGGAGGTTCAAGTCCACCCAGAGAAGCTTCGGAGGAAAGACCTGATGATCTCCTTCTGAAAAATCAACCCTGAAAACCCCATGGAGCAGTTCCACTCTGACACACATGGGGTTGCTATGAGTCAGAATCAACTCAAAGGAACTGGTTACTGGTGATGCAGCAAGTATCAAGAGAGGTACCATACACATGAGGATTAATGAGGCTCACACCTTACCCTGAAGAAACTCACAATTTGGTGGAAGATTCAGAGCTCACTCCTTCTCTTCATTCATTTGTTCAGTCATTAAGTCATTCAACAAACATTCGTTAGCACTTAATTTCTGGCAAGCAAGCATCATGGTAGACATTGAGGATGATCTTGCCCTTAAGAAAGTCCTAGTTAGAATGGAGAACCTGAAGTTGGCCTCCTCATTCATCCATCCAAAGTGTCACTAGTGTCCAGCCTGTGCTAGTGTCTGGGACAGGACTGCTGCAGGATGACCCAATAGTGGACTCTGCTAGGTGTCTCCAAGCAACAAAGCCTCCCTGTGGAGCCCCAGCCTCTCCCTCAGGGCTCACCTGCTTCTCTCACCATGTCAGCAGGCCCTGGTGGCAGCTGCCAGAGCCCGTAGCAACATCTCCCCACAGCATGCTGGAGACTGACTCTGATGCCATTTCCTACAGAAAACCATGAGCCCATCCATCTGGGCGGCCAACCCTGCAGACATCCACCTGGACTCCAGCTGATATTTCCTGGTACCCGAGATGCACCCACTCTGGAAGCTCCTCATTCTCTTCGGCCTCCTGGCCCTGCACTCAGTCCTGCCCATGCAACCCTGGCCCGGCCTGGCCAACGCCCACATGGAGACCAGGTCCACCCTGGCAAGTAGTAAGCTAAGCCTTGCTTTGCCTGCTGTCCTGAGGGTGGGGAGGGAAGGAATCATCTAAGCCCCCCCACTGCCTTGCTGTGTGACTTTGAATCAGTCACTCACCCTCTTTTCTTAGACCTCAAATACAGAGAACTGAGGTTGAATTCAACAAATGCCAAGTCACAGCACATTACCATCATTAATCATTGCAAGGTCCCTCATTTGTGTGATTTTAGGTTATTTCCCCCTTTATCCCTTATCCCCACTCCCACAGAGATATAGCACTGAGCAAATTTTCAACTATGGCATCTCCTCTGAGCAGCTATTGCCTGCCAGCCCCTCTGCTGGGGAGGTATTACTTATTTCTCACATCAACCCTGCAGAGCTTAATTCCACAGATGAGGAATCCTGGTGAAGGGAGTGACAAGCTACAATTTGCTCAGCCAGCCAAGAAGGGGTGCACAGCCTGCAATTCAGGCCTCCTGACATCAAACAGTGCCCCTGCCTTTACCAGGACACTGTGTAGTGTCACCATTTGCTTGTCCATTTGCAGTAATTGCCCAGGGCCTCATGAGGCATAATACAGAGGGACGTCTCCAGAACCTCCCACTCCGAAGCAGTCTGAATGACTTGAGACATGAGGCTCCGGGGATGGTGGGCTGGCTAATTGGCAGCCAGAGCTTCCAGCAGCAGCAGCAGCAGCAGGAAGACAGGTGAGACCCGGGACCCCACCCTGACCCTGGGGCAGAGGCAGTGGTGGCCTGAAGAGAGAAAGGAGAGAGTGGAAGTTCCAATACAGGGATGAGTGGGAGGTCCAAAGGGAACTGAAAACATCCTTTGGGGAGACAATGCAGCAGAGAGATGAAAAATGAAGGCTTGGGAGTAAGTGTCTGAGCTTAAATCCTGGCTCTGCCAGGAACCTTGGGAAATTTACTTAACCACTCTGGTCCCATCTATAAAATGGGTACCCAGAGCAAAGCGTGGCTAAGCATCTGGGTTGCCAAGCAAGCCAGGACTGTGTCTGGCATTCAGATCCACACTCTATTGCTTGATAGCTGTGTGGCTATGGGCAGGGCATTTGAGCTTCAGCCTCAGTCCTCATCAGTGACATGGGTATAACAGTTGTACCTCGCTCTGGGAGTTGTTCTGAGAATTAAGGACCATGCATGTAACTTCTCTGATGTACGTAAAAACCAAAACCAGTTGGTGTCGCGTGAACTCCAACTCACGGCGACCCCATGTCAGTCAGAACAGAAATGTGCACCATAGTCTACTCTATGGTGAAATAGGGCTGATTTTTTGAAAGTAGATTACCAGGCCTTTCCTACTGCTGGGTGGACTCGAACCTCCAACCTTTTGGTTAACAGCCAAATGTGTTAACCATTTGCACCATCCAGGGAGTTAGTAGGTGCATAACAAACCCAAAGAGGTCGCTATGACTCGGAATTGACTCAATGGCAGTGAGTTTAGTTTTTGGTTTATGATTAATCTCGCAGAACTGGGCCTGTTCTATTAGCCTCTAATTTAGCTCTGGTGGCATAGTGCCTAAGACATTTGACTGCTAACCAGACGGCTGGCGGTTCAAACCCACCAGCCACTCCTCGGAAGGAAGACAAAGCAATCTACTTCCGTAGAGGTACCGCCTTGGAAACCGAAGGAGCGGTGGCTATGAGTCAAATCAACTCGATGGCAGTGAGTTTGGTTCTAAGACTGATGCATGACTCCTCAGCTTTCTGGGTATCAGAGATGCTGAACTACAACATTATGTACCAGCCTGCGAGACCCCTGAGCTCCCGCTCTCTAATCAGAATTAGTCCCTGTAGCCACCAGCAGGGTTGATCTGCATGAGACGCACAGGTAAAATTGCCTCCTTGCATTCATTCTTTTAACAATTGTTATTCCTTGAGCACCTACTGTGTACCAGGATCTGGGCTTGGTATTAGGAATTAAGCTTTGAACAAGACGTGGTCCCTGACTTTTTGGATCTTGTATTCTAATTAGTGAGATAGGCCAAAAGTAAATATCATATTATTTCCAAAATAGCATGTGCCTTCTATGTTTATTTGCCAACCACTCCCTCCCCATGGAAGATATTTTTGTAAACGTGCTTGCTATTTTCTTTTTTTCTCCAGTATGGTGGTTAAGTTTGTGTGTCAACTTGGCTGGGCCTGGGTGAGTGGCTGGGCAGCTGAATGTAGTTATTCCCTCATGGTGAGATTGGTAATCAACTCCATGGTGGAATCTATTGGAGCAGCTGAGTAGCTGCTTTGGGTACGTGGTCTGCTTTCCATATATAAGAAACAGCTTTGGGAATGGTCTCTACCTTATGGCACACTTGGACCCTGCATGTAGCTGTGTAGTTGTTCAGCAGCCTACCATGCTCTGCCAACCTTGGGACTTTCAATGGACTTGAATCAATGGCCTGCCATGTGGTTTGGTAACATCGGGACTGTGCCTTTTTACTTGTCATCCTTGGGCTTGTCAGTCTCAGCAACCAGCGGCTGAGTGAAGAAAAGCCTCCAGCTTCAGTGGGCCAGGAGCAGGAGGCAGAGCTGAAGCCTAAGGTTGAAGGGCTTTCACCCAGCCCCTAGAGCCTTGCATTTTGAACTCGGATTTAAAGCCTCCAGACTGTAAGAGAATAAACTTCTGTTTGTTCAAGCCATCCCATTGGTGGCATATTCTTGTCAGAGTGGCACTAGGTAACCAGAACATCCAGCAACATGTATTTCAGGTAGAGGGACATGCTATAGAGATAAATTTAGCAAGGTGAGAAGTTTGAGTGAGGGAGCTGATCACAAGAACCTTTCAGAGGTGACCCTTCAGTAGAAAACTTAAAAGGGAGTAAGTGACATGAGGAGGGAGGGAGCATGCTGGGCTGAGAGAGCAGTGAGTGGCTCTGGTGTAGGAAAGAGTTTGAGTCTTCCAGGAAGAGAACAAGGCCTGCATGGCTGGGTGAGTGAAGGGAAGAGTCTATGAGATGCAGTTATAGGGGCGGGCCAGGCCTTAGGGGCCGTGGGATGGGGGTCAGATTTTATTCCAAAAACAGTGAGAAACCAGTGGGGAAAGATGATTGGCCAGCAAGTGTTAGGACCCCTCTGGTTTCAATGTGATGAATAGTCTGTAGAGAAGCCAAGATGGCCACAGGGAGCTCAATGCTGGAGCATCAGCAGGCAATATGGGCTACCTGGACAAGGTCACAGAAATATAAGTTGTAGGAAATGACCAAACCGGGGCTATATATTTCAAGCAGAGCCAACATGATTTGCCGATGAGTTGGATGATGGAGAGGGATAGAGAGAAGTCAAAGATGGCTCCTAGGTCTTAGCCTGTGTTAGGTGGATGGTGGGCCATCTCCTAAGATGAGAGGCTCCATCTGAGGTTAGGTGCTGGGTCTGAGTCTCCAGTTCATCAGCAGCTGGCTATGGGTCTCACAGATCAGTGTGTGGAGCTAATGGGGCATTCTAGGCCAGCTTACAGCCCAGGGCTTCTGCTGGGAGCTCTTGCCTCAGAGCATCTGTAAGACAACCTGACTCCAATTCACATTGCCAGGGTCTACTTGCAGACAGGCAGCTTGTCTCTCAGCAAGTGATCTTGCCTGTGTGAGGGCCTTCACTCACATTGGACCTCTGTGCTTTCCTTGTGTAGCATCAACATCACCCATATTCAGCTGGGCTATGGCAGAATCCGAATGTCTTTCCATAAGGAGTGGTTCTCGGCAAACATCTCACTTGAATTTGACATCAGATTTAGACTGTGAGTTCTACAAAAGCAGGGCGTGTTGGGCACTGCTCCTCTCCACTGGGAACCTAGGAGCTGGGGATAAATTGAGCAACCTGGGAACCCAGGACTTTCTGAACCCAACCTGGGTTCAACTCTGTCTTCCATACTCATTCATTGTGTGATCTGGAGCAAGTCACTTCACCTCTCTGAGCCTTGGTCTCTTCAAGCTGAAATGTGGATGGAAATCATTAGACAGTGGAGGGAGGCCATTTGCTCATTTAAACTTATGTGAATTCACAACACTGGGCTGGATTTAAAAAGAGAGAGGGTACCTCATTAGTGATTAATTGCCTCATCCCTCTTCTTTCCTCTTGTTCAAACTATCCTTTGCCCAAAGAAAGGGAGGTCACAACTAAATGGTAAAAATTTTGAAAGTAGAGATTAATTCTTAACTCTTGAATTTCCAAAGGACCTTAATCTGGTCTATTGAGAGGATTTTCCAAAGCCACTCTGGTTTTCTCCTTAATCCCTGACTTGATGATTTAACATCAGCAACAAGGAGCCCCTCTGGCCCTTCCTCACTGTTTGTTGAAAGAGCTCAGAGTGTAAGGGGAGGCCCAGTAGCGGACAATGGCTGTTTTTGCCAACATAGGTGAGCCACTCTTCATGCTGGCTGCTTCCATCTTCTACTCATTCTCCGTCTCCTCTCCCTCCTCCTCCTCCTCCTCCTTCTCCTCCACCTTCTCCACTCTTTCCTCCCCAGGCCCTTCAATAACAAGATTATACAGCTCCACACATCCATGAACCTCATTGCGGAATTCTGGCTGGAGAAAGATGAGTTTGGCCGGAGGGATCTGGTGATGGGCAATTGCTCCATGGAGCCCAGCAGTGTCAGTGTGATGGTCGTAACTGAGTAAGGCTCCAGCTGTCATTCCCCAGCCTCGGGCTCTCTTCCTGTCATCCCTAGCTTTACCCTCACTTCTCCACCACCTCTTAGATAAGTAAAGATTTTGAAAATAGAGATTAATTTTCAACCCTTGAATTTCTTCAAAAAACAAACCAAACTCACTGCCATTAAGTCAATTCCAAATCATAGCAACCCCCATTGGGTTTCTGAGGTGGTAAATCTTTACAGAAGTAGAGTGCCCCCATCTTCCTTCTGCAAAGCAGCTGGTGGGTTTGAAGCACCAACCTTCTGGTTAGCGGTCAGATGGTTTAGGCACTGTACCACCAGAGTTCCTTCTGGTCCAAACAGACCTTATCCTTTCCCCATAGATCTGCAACTCTTCCCCTGTCCCCATCCCAGTGATGGCCATGTCACTCTATCCTATCAGGAACCAGACTTTCTTCTCACTCTCTGCAGCCCACCTGTCACTTGTTCCCATCAATGACCTCCTGGTAGCCCTCTGTTGTTCCTTTTTCTCCATCCCAGCAGCCACTGCCTAGATTGTCAGCTGCTAGACCATTGTGGCAACCTCCTCCAGGGCTTCCCTGACCCAGGTCTCACCTAAGATTCTCCACCCTGCAGCAGAAGTAACCTTCTAACAGAACTCTGGTCAAGCTCCAGCCGCTGCTCCAAATGCTCCAATGGTTCTCCAACGCCCTCAGGATGAAGCACAAACCCCCACATGTCACTCAAGACCCTGCTTGTTCTCTCTCTGCTGCAGTCCTTTGCCTCCAGCACCTCTGAAGGAGGCACTCATCCATCCATCACCATATCCTACATTTCACACCCCTATCGTAGCGCCTAAGGCACTTGACTGCTAACCAGAAGGCTGGCGGTTCAAACCCACCAGCCACTCCTAGGAAGGAAGGTTGGGCAATCTACTTCTGTAGTGATACCGCCTCAGAAACCCAAGGAGTCGCTATGAGTTGGGACCGACTCGACGGCACATAACAACAACAACAACATGCCTTGGCACATGCTGATCCATTTGCCTGAAGTACCCTTCCATTCTTCTCTAAACTCCTCCTCATCACTCACTCATTCAGTAACTATTTACTGAACACCTACTATATCCCAGGCACTGTGTTAAATGCTAGGGGTACAGTGGTGAACAAGATAGAAAAACTAGAGCATAAAGAAGATGTGTAGATTGGCCATCAAAGTCTGTCAATCTCAACAGACTGTGAGTCCCTCAAGAGCAAGGTTTGTGCCTGATTTCTCTCTGTAATCCCAGCATGCTGAATACAACTAAGTCTTTAGTGGATGCCCATCAGATGTTCCCTGAGTGCCTAGATTCCTCCTCCTCACTCTCCACAGCTCATCTGCTTCATTCACAGGAAGGACAGTAGAGGGTAAAGATTGGTCTCCATAGCTCTTTAGACATGGTTCTAATCCAATTAGCATTTACCGGCTGTGTGACTTTGGGCAAGTAACCCTAAGTTACTTGTCTGACTGTTGCTGACAATGATGCCTTTCATATAGGGTGTGTGAGGAGGAAATGATTGTGTAAGATGTACTCAATACACAACTCTTGGCATTAATATGGCTGGTATTTATCTGTTCCATACACCCACCTCTCTTTCTAGGGGTATCCCATCAAAGATGAAACATTTTCTCAGCAACCTCAGAGAGAACCTGGAAAAAGTTATTCCACATGTGGTAGCAAGCCAGGTAACCTTGGAAAATATGTTTTCCCCTTGGGCATTCTTGAATTTGAGGGTCAGGGTATACACATTGGCAGGAAAGAGTTTGAAATCTCAGACTTTGGAATCTGAAGAATCTTAATTAAAATGACAGTTCTGTCATCTACTGGCTGTATCCCCTTGGGCAAGTGACTTATCCTCCCTGAGTCTCAGTTTCCCCATCAGTAGTATGGGAATGGTCACAGTCCCTACCTCATAGGGTTGTCATGAATGTTCAGGGAAAAAATGCACAGAAGTGTTCTTCGTGGTATCTAGCATGTAAGTGGTGATCAACATAAGGAGACCATTGGTTTACCACAATTCCTTTTGGAAATCCAGTTGAGTCAAAGCTTCCAGCCACAGGCACGGCAGCTTTCTTGTCCCAGCCCTTGGCCTAACTCTTCTTTCCATGCTGGTGGTTCAGGTATGTCCTCTGATGGATGAAATCCTCAGGCAGCTGGATGTGAAACTGTTGAAAAGCCTCCTGGGTGAGTGTTTGTGTCCATATGGGAAGTATTGCTCAAACTTCGCCAATGGGTGGAAGATGTGCATCCCACAGGAACCAGAGCGTGTGCTTTGAAAACACTTTAGAGGTGACCAGCTCATGATGTCCAGTACTGTCTCCTGAGAGAGCTGGGACAACAGAGGTGATCCCTACCATGCAGACTGAAACCTCAGGTTAGCAGATACACTGGCCCCTTCCCATACTTGAGTCCATTCCCACTCCACTTGCAGATAATACAGCCCCTGCCTTCATGAACCTCACAGTATAGGGAAGGAAAGACAAGAAGCAAATAATTAAAGATTGTTTGGGAAGAGTTTGGATGTGAGTGCTCCTGGCATTGGTCCATGGTTGGCATGGATGGATGAGTTTCCCTTCAGTGTGGACTTGTGGGTGGGAAGGATGGACACACTGTAACTGATGCTGGACCTTCTTCTCACAGAACAGGCTGTACCTCATAAAGTCAACCAACCATGAATCCAACCAACCTTCACATGCCAGACTGGATGTCCTCCAGCTGTCTACAATGATCAGGACCTGCCATATCCTGGGACATTAAGCTTCCTTCAAAGTGGGGCTTCTGCTGCCCCTGAAAACTTTTACCACAGGCCCTGTGGACCTCATGTCCTCTTCCCCCAGTAAACTCCTTCTAACTTGGAAAGATACAGAGGTCCCCTGCTTTGGCTCTAAAGCTTAGGTTCTGGAAGCTGACCTAGAAAGATCCATCCGGAGACTAAATATCCCTGGGTTTGCCCATCAGCCCAGAAATACCAGAATACCTGGTCTGTTTGCAAACAGAAGCCCACCCATGGATTTACTGATTTCACATTCCCTCATCCATTCTACCCATACTTACTGAGCACCTACTACATGACAAGCACTTTTCTGGGCTTCAAGGGGGAGTAGAAAAAGGGTGACAGGGTGGACAACCACAAACTTTGGAGATGAACATACTTCAGTTCAAATTAGACTCAGGCCAACTAGAAGTTCCCTGAGGGTGTAGACCATGACAATCATAGTGACATATGAGTCCCCAGCCCCCAGTATAGAGCTGGGCACAGGGTATGGGCTTGGCAAATATTTATGGTTAAATGAGAGAATGAATTCTGGTCTGGTCTTATGACTCACTAGCTGTGTTTGGGACAAAGCCCTTTACTCCTCACTCTTCGTCGTCTGCAAAATGGGAATAGAAATCTTACCAGATTGAAGATGTCTAAGGGCCACAATCCAGTAATCCACTCCCAGGGGTTACCTTACAGCCAAACAACAGACAGGCCTATAAAGTGAATAATAACACTTACGAGGAACGTACTTCTCAAAGTAATCAACCATATGAGACCAAAAAGGCAGCATTTGCCCAAAAACAAAGCTCAAAAGGCAAGAAGAGGCAGGAGAGAGCTTGAGCAGAAACAGGGAACACAGGGAGGAAGATGGGAGAGTGCTGGTACTCCCATTGAGGGGATTGGAACTAACCACACACATGCCAAAAAAAAAAAAGTATAAATTATTGAATGGGAAACTAACTTGCCTATCATTTTCACCTAAATCACAATTCAAAAAAAGAAATCTTACAGGATGTGGACTACAGGAACCATCACACACTACTTACTCAAACAACAACAAAAAACAACTCATTGTCGTTGAGTTATTTGAAATAACTCAAACCTGACTCATAGCAACCCCTCCTTGGGTTTCCGAGGCAATATTCTATGGAAGTAGATTGCCCAGTCTTCCTTCCAAGGGCTAGCTGGTGGGTTTGAACTGCCAGTCTTCTGGTTAGCAGTCAAGTGCCCTAGGTACTACACCACCAGAGTTCCCACTACTTGTTGTTGTTATGTGCCATCGAGTCAGACCTGACTTATAGAGACCCCTCCTTGGGTTTCCAAGGCAGTATCACTACAGAAGTAGATTGCTCAACCTTCCTTCGGAGGAGTGGCTGGTGGGTTTGAACCTCCAGCCTTCTGGTTAGCAGTCAAGTGCCATACTTACTTGTGGGAGGTAAATTCTACCACCACTTTATAAAGCTAAAGAGTTCTCATGCTGTAGTGGGTAAGGCATTTGGCTGCTAACCAGAAGGTCAGCAGTTCAAACCCACCAGCTGCTCCATGGGAGGAAGATGAGGCAATCTACTTCTGTAAAGATTTACAGCCTTGGAAATTCAATGTGGGTCACTATGAGTCAGAATCGACCCATTGGCAATGGGCTTTGGTTTGGGTTTATAAAACTATGTGGCAGCATCTACTGAAGCTGAATATATACTTACCCTATGGCCCAACAAGTCCCCCACCAGGTACGTACTCAACAGAAATGCATGCATGTGGTACCAAAAGACATGGACAATGATGTTTACAGCAGAATATTCATAACAAAAACAAAAACCAAACTCACTGCCATCATGTTGATTCCAACTCATAGTGACCTTATAGGACAGAGTAGAACTGCCCCCATAGGATTTCCAAGGCTATAGAGCTATACAAAAGCAGACTGCCTCGTCTTTCTCCCAGGGAACAGCTGGTGGACTTGAACCACCGACTTTTTAATTGGCGTTCAAGCACTTTGACCCTGTAACCCCATTCCAAATAGCCCCAAACTAAAAATTCCATAAAAACCCAAAAAACCAAACACACTACCATTTAGTTGATCCCAAATCATAGTAACCCCCATTGGGTTTCTGAGGTTGTAAATCTTTATGGAAGTAGATTGCCCCATCATCCTTCTGCAGAGCAGCTGGTGGGTTTGAATCACTGACCTTCTGGTTAGCAGCCAAACGCCTTATCCACTATGCCACCAGAGCTCCTAAATTCCCTAACGGCCCATATGAAAAATGGATAAATAGAATGGGTAAATAACCTATGAGATAGCCACAATGCACAGACCCATGTGACCATCTGGGCCAGTTGCTTAAACACCAGGTTGAGTGAAAGAAGCCAGAGGCAACAGACCACATGTTGCACACTCAAGAACAAGAAAAACTAATCAGTGCTGTTAAAGGTCAGGGGAGTGGCTACCCTTGGGGAGAGGTTAACGACTGGGAGGAGACTAAGGGAGGTTCTGGAGAGCTGATACTGTTCGGTGTTCTGATATGGATGTTGGTTATGGTTGGGTATTCAGTTTGTGAAAATTCATTGAATGATTCATTTAGTGCATTTTAAAATAAATACTCTATTTTAATAAAAAATTTAAAATAAAAATACTTGCAGGATGTTTGTGATGAATATATTAATAATGTGTTAAGCATTTGAATTATGTTCAACATATGTTAAGTCCATGGGAGATGCTTAATGTCATTTAATTAATTTTAATTATTTGATTATTGACTGTTCATTTATTCATTTTTGATTTCTGTGCTCCTCCACCTGACAGTCTGGAACATACTGAGAAATCAAGGAGAGATGACAATGATATAATCACTCATGAGTTAAGCACTTGGTCTGTGCCAACCTTGGTGCTTGGTGCTTACTTCCAGCACATCAGATCCTGACTGCAAACCCCATCACAAAACTGTGATCCCATTAAACACATGTGGAAACTGAGGCTCAGAGAGATAAAGTCACTTGCCCAAGGTCACACAGCAAGGCAATGGCCAAGTCCAGACTGCACTTAGGCAGCCAGACCCCAGAACCCACTCTCTTAACCACTGTGAATGTATCCCCTTCCCAGCCTACCCTCCCTTCTTTCCAGGGTACCTCCACCCCACCCCCTACCCTACACACACACACTGAGGGGAAAATGATGAAATCTGTGTTCTGCTGGATTGACAAGCTCAAACAAGGAAGTGTCAACAGCTCAGATGAAAATAGAGCAAGACAACCTCAAGTCACCATCTTTCCATTCACGCTCCCTAATCTGAAATGCTTCAGTGGGGATTTGCAACCCTAAACTCTGGTGTTCACACAAATGGCCCCCCTTGACAGCCTGGAGATTTGAGGTTCTTCCTGCTCTTGAGTCAACGAGCAAACACGGAGGGCTGGCCTGTCTCCTGCAGGCCTACCTCCTCTCTCGGTGAAGGCATCTTTTGTCTCCTTCCTCCTGACCCCTCCTGGGATGGTTCAACAGCTACCTCAAGGGCCTCCTTGGGTTTCCTGCATTCTGTTTTCTTTGCATTTAAAGTTCACAGAGCTGCAGATTCATCACATTTTCTTCTGGAAAGGTTTGTTGAACAATAGGCCTGTATCATGATACTGGGGTTGGGGGTTAGAGGGTGTTAAAGTGAAAGAAGTTCCAAATTATGCCCTGAACCTTGTTCCAGACCCTGCCCGTCTGTGCCCTGTAGCTGTCATTTGCAGTCTTGGAGCACAGACTCTTTGCCAGATTTTGGGCTGAGAGTTACATTGGCATTTGACTGCTAACCAGAAGGCTAGTGGTTCAAAGCCACCAGCCAGTCCTCAGAAGGACGATTGGGTGATCTACTTCTGTAGTGATACCACCTCGGAAACCCAAGGAGGGTCACTATGAGTCAGATCCAACTTGAAGGCAGTGAGTTTGCTTTTGGTTTTTTGGTTTAACCCTCTCTACAACCCTAGGAGGCAGGTGGTGTAAGCCTTATGTTACAGAGAAGGAAAGTGAGGCTCAAAGAGGGACCATAGCTTACCCAAAGTCATGCAACTGGTAATGAGCGGAGGTGCATTTAGAATTCAAGGTTGTCTGATCTCACAGTTGGTGCGAGGGCTGCTTCATGCACTCAGCTGCTAACCAGAATGTTGATGGTTCAAGTTTACCCAGAGGTGCCTTGGAAGAAAAGCCTGGAGATCTGCTTCTGTAAAGATTCCAGCCAAGAGAATCCATGGAGCAGTCCCACCCTGTAATACATGGCACTGCCGTGAGGCAGAATCAATTGGACAGCATTTCAGATTAGGGAGCTTTAATGGAAAGATGAAGACTTTTGAGGTTCTCTTGCCCTATTTTCATCTGAGCTGTTGGCACTTCATTGTTTGAGCTTGTCAATCCCACTGAATGTACATTTCATTGATTTATAGATGAATAAGACAAATTCATGGAGTTCTGAGTTTATGAACTGAGCTTCATACCAGCTTCTCAGACATTATTCTCCAATAACCCTGCAAAGTAGATCTTACAGATGAGGAAACTGAAGTCCAGAGGGTTGGATTGACTTGCCCATGGTCACAGGATTTGAACCAGGGCTGCCTGTTCCCTAACCTATCCTCTTCCTGCTATGACACGTACACAGCCTCTTGACTTAACACTAGAAGATAGAAGGTGTCCATTAGCTGGCTGCACAGGCTTGAATCAATTCTTTGACTTACTTGCCTTAGTTTCCCCACAAGGATAGAAACAACTTGACCCAACCCACAAGTGTTGTTACCAACTGCCCCTTGGAGGCATCAGCCCTGACGCTCATAGGAAATGGAAGCAGGCACAGCCCAGGCCTGGCATGAGGGAAACGCAGCAGGCTCAGTGCTCACAGGGAATCAGGTAGTCACGGGCTGAATTCTGACTCCGTCACTCACTCGCTGTGTGTCCTTGGGAAGCAATCACTCCTCTTGGAACCTCAATCTACTCATCTGAGATATGCTGCTGTCGTTAAATGCTGCTGAGCTGATTTTGACTCTTAGCAATTCCATGGGACAGAGTAAAACCATCCCATATAATTTTCTAGGCTGTAATCTTTATAGGAGCAAATATACAGGTCTTTCTCCCACAGAGCCACTGGATAGGTTCATACTGTCAACCTTTTGATTAACAGCCAAGCACTTGGCCACTGAGCCACCAGGGTTCCTTAATCTGACTCATAGGGACAAAAATATCAACCACTTCTGATAAAGATGAGGGTCAAATATGGAAAGCATCTGGCACATAGTAGGTGCTCAATAAATGTGCCCTTCCTTATCTCTCCTTAGCTTCTAAGGTGTTAGGTTTTGCAAGGCAAGGTCCACTGTCATCAGTCCAAGACGTTGGCCTCAGTTTTTTCATCTGTACAATAGATTTCTTGAAGACTAAGGTGAGCTTAACCCAAGCCATGGTATTTTCAATTGCCTCTTATGTGTGTGAGAGCTAGACAATGAATAAGGAAGACTGAAGAAGAGTTGATGCTTTGTGTTGAAGAAGAATGCTAAGAGTACCATGGTCTGCTAAAAGGACTAACAGATCTGTCCTGGAAGAGGGGCAGCCAGAATGCTCCTTGGAAGCAAGAGTGGCTAGACTTTGTCTCACTTACTTTGGTCATGTTGTCAGAAGGGACCATTCCCTGGAGAAGGATGTCATGCTTGATGAAGTGGAGGGTCAACAGAAAAGAGGAAGACTCTCAACAGGATGGATTGACACAGTGGCTGGAACAATGGGCCCAGGCATAGCAAGGATCATAAGGCTGGGGACTGGGCAGTGTTTCGTTCTGTTGTACATAAGGTCTCTATGAGGCAGAGACGATTCAACGGCGTCTAACAACAACAACAATAGGCTTCAAAGGCCCAAATGGTTGAGACAAATGCCTTATGGGGCAGGATAGAAGGAAGGACAAGGGTAGAGACCAGGATACGCAGAATCCCTCAGACCTGGGAACCTAGAATGAATATTCCAGGTTAGGAAAATAGGAAGCATGAGAGCATGAAATTCATCGACAAAGGAAAGCAAAATGGTCACTGAGTGTGAGGAAGGTGCCCCCATCTCTCAGCTCAGTGATAAGAGAAAGGCCTGGAGCGTGATTGCCTCAGCTTCACACCAGCCACCTGACTCCAACATGTCACCTCACACTTCAAGCCTCAGTTTCCTCCTTGTAAAACAGTGGTGCTCATTCTGCCCTTAGAAGACGCTGTGAGGATTCATGAGACACTGTATGTGGAAAAACCAGGCAGAACCTGGTGCACAGCAAGAGCTCAGTAAGTGTTGGTTGCCATTGTATTTATTGTTGTTATGATCTAATGAGTTGAGTTCTGACTCTGCCTCTTCTCTGTGTTTTCAGACTGGCCACTTGTTCCCCTGGGCCTCAGTCTCCTTCTCTCTAAATAAGAAGCAATATTTAGGGTTGTTGTAAAGACATATAACCCCTCACACATGACTTTCAAGCAATAGGGGCTCAGAAAACAGAAGACCCCTGCCCTGGAATTGAGGGTATCTCAGATGTATGAAGTTCAGATACAGTTTGACTCTTTTTGACACTTTGGGAGCAAAAGTCCCCCGTCAGAGAAAATAATTGGACCAGAAATGGAAAAGCACCTCCACATGAAACTGAGGGCCCCTCCTGGGCTCCGCTGGCTGCCTCTTCCAGTGTCCCATGTGTGATCCTCCAGGCTACCCTCAGAGCCTAAGTCTCCAGCCCCCTCCATGAAATCATGAAGTCTTCAATAACATCTCAAGTTTTTCTCTGTTTAGCTTGTCGATCAGATGGCTTACCCGTCCCACCTGCTAATGTGATTGGCAATTATTTACTTTGGAGAGCCCTGAAAGACGCCACCAGACTGCATAATTCTGAATTAACTAGAAACCCATCATCTGAGCCCATGCTTCCTGATTCCCACACTATAAAAGGGGCTGTCTCCTCAGCAGAAGCAAGTAGTAGACAGAAGAGGAGACCAGGAAGCACTGGGTCCTCTGAGAAGTCCAGGTGAGACCTGCCCGTTCCTCTCCCTCTCAGCACCCCTGGGTGGCAAGGTTGCTGGAACTGCTCGCTGGAGGTTGGGCACTGACAGGCTCCACTTGGAGGCTTTCAAGAGAAGCAGGTCTGGCTATTTTCTGGGAGGTGGGAAGAGTAGCCATTTGTTCTGCTTTTCCAAGAGATTAGAAACAGAAATATTTTGTGACAGAGAATGTGTTGGTGATGGGAGCAGGTGGCTGCAAGTGTAAACTATTGAATTTTTCAAGTTAGAACCCTCTCAGGGGCATGCTTTTCATACCCTAAATCAAAATCTCTAAAGCAAGAGTTCTAACTTGAAGTTACCAATGGGGATTAGGATTATCCATGAACTTCTAAAAATTATCCTCCCTATTTTGTACATTTTTGGTGCATTTTTTCAGGACTAGGGTCATTAGCTTCCATTGGGTTCTTAAAGGGGCTTTTACCTAAAGGATTCAGAGCCCCTGATGCAAGTTTACCTACCCAGGGAAACCCCAACAACTCGCTTTTTTTGGGCCAAAAAGGCCTTTCAATTCCAGCCAATCACCATGTTAGAATTTGGGCCACATTGGCCAGTTGGTGGGATTTTGCCCAAAGCAGCTAGGTATCTCTAAATTGTAGGTACCAGCTCTGGCTTTTGACACATTTGACTTCTGGGAGGGAGCTGGTTCAGGCAGACAAACCTCAGGGCTTGCTCCAGAAATTCATCAACTTGAGGGAGAAGAGATAGTACATAGGCTTATGTTTATGTGTGGGGTGACGGAAGGATGGGGAGAACTGCCTCCAGCCACAGTTCTGCCACCAAATTACTGTGTGACCTTAGGCACATCACTATTCCTCCCCAGTCCCCTGGCTCCCCATGTGTAATGAAGGTTTGGATGGTCCCAGGATTTCCTCAGACCTGGAGGGGATGGTAACTACAGGCATGTAAGCTCTGAAGCTCTGACTTGTGAGGCTTCTACAAGACCATCAGTGCCTGGACCTGGAAGCAAAAGGCTTACCGGGGCTGGCTAGGAGGCAGTTTGGTTCCTCAGGCATGAGCACATCTAATTTCCTTTGTCTGAAGAGCAGAGACTCAGGGCAGTGATTCAAGTGATTGGAGAGTCAACAGAGGCCTCTGGGTCAGACAGATCGGGCTTCAAATCTTGTCTCCACTCTGTACTTGGTGACCTTGGGGAAGTTACTGAAACCCACTAGACTTCAGTCCCTTCATCTGTGTAATGTGAGTAATAAGTGCCCATGTCTTAAGGTTGTGGTAAAAATTAATTTGGTCACTGAGTGTGAACACACATCCTCATGCCAGGCACAGAGAAAATGCTCATTGCTGGAACAGTAATAGTGTTAGCTCTTACTGTTCACTACCTGGTGTTCTGGGGAGCAGACAAATGAGAATCCTGCCCCCAGTGGAGGAGGGGCGAGGCAGTGATAAATTCTTGTCTGATATCTGTGCCACATTGGACCCATCATTGTCTCCATAGATAACAAGAGAGAAAATGTTTAAAATCGGAAGCCTCATTGTCTTCTGTGGGCTGCTGGCCCAAACCAAGGCCCAGCTTGGAGACCTCCTCCAGCTCCCTGCCCCAGCTGTACCCTCAGTACCCACAGATCTTCCTGGAAGCTTGATAAAAGGTAAGTGAGTCTGTGACAACATCTTTCAGATGCTGTGTATTTGTGTGTGTGTATGTGTGTGTGTGTGTGTGTGTGTCCAACTATGCAATAAAGAGCAGGGATGAATGGAAGGGGGGACAGAGAAGATGGAATTGTCCAATATGATCCCTGCATCCATTTCCAGATCTCACCAATGAACTGCTCTCTGGGAATATCATGGGCGTTCTCAACAGTCTTCCACTCTTGGACAGCCTGAAGCCTAAAGGAGACAACTCTGGTGGCTTGCTTGGGGGTCTACTTGGGACAGTTACTTCAGTGATCCCTGTTTTGAGTGACCTCATAGAGTGAGTTACCCTGAAAGAGGGCCTTAGCCTCACCAGGGAGCCCAGTTGGAGATCTGACAGCCCCAGGCAGTAGCCCTGAAGGACGGAGGGGGCCAGTCTGAACGTGGGACAGTACCCTGTCCAGAGATACTTTTCACATTCTGGCAGGACACACTAGTTCACCCTCTTGTACCAGTAAATGCCCTTGGTCCTTATGCATATCCTGGGTCCCCAGCATCATTTTTAATGTTCACGACAACCCTTTGAAGTCAATACAATAATGCCAGTTTTACAGCTGGGAAACCTGGGGCCCAGAAAGGGACCTGTGTTCACACAACCAGAGTGATGCAGAGTAAGGATTCTAACTCAAATTTACCTAAGCCCAAAGCCAAAGCTCTTTCTACTACATCTCAGTAATTTTGTTTTCTCTACCTATGGAATCCATTCAAACACAACTGGTCTGTATATAAAGAAGAAAATGTAAGTTGCCCTCCTCAATTAGATTGGTGATGTGATAAAGAACAATATGATGTCCATGGAAAGATTCAATGTGCTATTTCATATGAGATCAGAATGAAATAATGGAAAAGCTTAATGCTGACAAAACCTTGTTCCTTGATAGGCTTGGATATGACTTGAAGACAGACAGATAGACAGACTTGGGTTTGATCCTCTAGTGTGCCATGTACCTTCTGGGTAACCTGGGACAAGGTACACAGTCTCTCTGGGCTTAGTTTCCCCACCTATGAAATGGATATTATAATATCCATTGAGAAAGACTGTTGGGAGGACCGGAGAAGATTTAAATCACCTGACACAGTGGCTGTCTCAAAGAAGACGTTCAATTCCATCCTTTCCCCATTCTTCCTGACTTCCTGCTCTTTAATCCCCATGATAAACATTGTTAATTGACCCATCTTTGGAGACCATGGCAGGATGAGTGATTCCTACCCATAAATGTTTGGGCAAAACTTATTGCATCTTATGCTTATCCATCAATGCATCCATTCCTCCATCAAAGCACTTACTCTTCCATCCATCCACCCACACATCTCTCTACCCATCCTCCATCAACCCACAAATTCCACCTATATGGAATAGCTTCTTTCTTTGTAAGGCTTTGAGCTGGGCATACAGGATGAAAATATCCAGATCTGGTCCCTGTTTTGGAATATGTCATAGACTTGAGATGAGGAGAAGTCCATAGGTATGTCAGGATCTGAGCCAGTGGGGAGATTGAAGAAGACTAATGTGCAATTTAGAATACATGTGGCTTTTGCTTTAAGACCCTCCCTCCCATCTCCCCAACAACACCTCAAGGGTAGCTCCATCTCTGGGATGAGTGAATTTGGGTTAAAGGTGGATTCTGGCCCCAGTGAGTTAGGGCCAGAGAAGCTGATGTTTCTCTCCCTTCAATGTTTCTTCCTGGACAGTGTGACAGTCACTGACCCCCAGCTGCTGGAACTTGGCCTTGTGCAGAGTCTTGATGGCCACCGTCTCTACGTCACTATCCCTCTGGGCCTGGTCCTCAATGTGAAGACGTGAGTGGGCCCCCACAGGGTATAGGAATATGGTTCACCAAGGGGGACTTTGATGACCACAGTAGCCAAAGAGAGGGTGTTGGAATATAATAGACCTGAACCTCTAACTTCAATTCAGCTCATTGGCTGCTGTGCTGAGTAACTCTGGGAAAATCACTTGACCTCTTTGAGCCTTGGTTTCCCTTAGTGGGAAATGAGTGAAGCTGTGGATAAAATGGAGTGAGGTGAGGCTGGCATTCCTGGTGAGAAGAAAATCCCTCTCTGCCTTGGAATGTGATGGGGCCAGATGCCACCAGGACTATCTCCCCTGCAGGCCCATAGTTGGAAGTCTGGTGAAGCTGGATGTGAAGCTGAACCTCACTGTAGAACTCTTAGTCGTGAGAGATAATCAGGGGAAGAGCCACCTGGTTGTTGGCGACTGCACCCACTCTCCTGGCAGCCTGAAAATCTCCCTTCTTAATGGGTGAGTCCAGAGCGTGAATTCTGCTCATAGATATCAGGGAGGAATTATGGATAGATGGATGGAAAGATGGAACAGTGAGAAGATAGATGAATCAGAGGTTGGAAGGGTGGGGAAATGAATGAGAGGGAGGATGAATGGATGGATGGAAGGATGGATGAATGGATGGTTGGATGGATGGTTGGACAGTTGGATGGATAAAGAGTTAAAGAAGGTGCCTTCTTAAGCTAGGCCAATTAATTTTATGCCAGATTAGACAATAAGATATCTGTGTTCAAGCCCCAACTCTTAGTGGGAAATGGGGAGAGGTGGGGAGCATCCTATGTGAACTTAGGCAGTGCTTCCCCAACTCTGGGTCTCAGCTTCCTAATCCGTAATACGGGGCTACATTGGGGTTGTTGATAGAGCCACTAGTATAATAGGTCTGGCTGTGCTTTGTCCCAGTAAAGGGTAAAAATAACTATGGAGTCTGACTAAGTTACTGAGTTACCTGTTACACAGAGAGACTAACATATGCAGAATATGCACAAGCCATTCTATCACAACTAACAATTACCAGACACAAATATTGTGTTTCACATGTGTCATCTTGTTGAATCCTCATAACAGGCATGTACTAAACACTGTTCATTCATTTATGGATTCTACAAAGTCTTTGTGAATACCTACTGTGTGTTAGAGCTATGTGTTTATTCAACTCTGTGTTTATACCTACTACTGTGGGCTGTGTAGGTTGTAACTCCCCCTTGGGTATGCACCCGTAGTTTTCAGTTACTTAATGCTGAGACTGTGGTGGGCATAATGGTTCCTCCGAAGTCTTCTCCATAGCAAGGCCAGGTCTTTGCAGGTCCAACATCACCCCATGGCTTTTCTCTTTCAGAACTGGCAGCCTCCCCGTTCAAAACCTTGTTGACAGCCTCACTGGGGTCTTGGATAAAGTTCTTCCTGAGCTAGTGCAGGGCAAGGTAAGTGGGCAGAAGTGGAAGTCTCCTGATCTTTGGGTCTTAGAGATTTTCAGGCTGAAAGAGACACCTGGGGTGAGCTGGTCTGAACCCCTCAGTTTAATAAGTAATTGCCATCCCTCAATCTATCTGTCCATTGATCCATCCATCCATGTTTCTCCTTTCCATCCTCTAAAATGTGTGGATTGGTTTCTGTTCTGGGCCAGTCCCTGTGCAATCCACACTGCAGCTGGAAAGGATCAGCCCTTGCCTCAAGAAGCTCCCAGTGTGGTGCTCTATGGCTGTAGACAAGCAGTCTCCCACCTATAACAATACACTCTGCCCTTTCACAGAAGCCCATTCTGTTTAGAAGTAGATGTGGAATCACAGGGTAAACCCAGGAGTGTTTCTCCTATTCATGGCTTTGGTTTCTCCTTGTCCCCAAAATTTCTGTGTGAGCATTCATCTCTGGGATGGCTTAAGATCAAGCACTTCCAGAGATAGGAAAATGATTAAAATCTCACACACACAAAAAAAAAAAATCCATTATGAGATGCTGCTGCCACCAGGGTCTCCCTACCGACATCACTTTGCCTAACTCCTCTCTTTGCCCCAGGTGTGCCCTCTGGTCAATGAAATTCTTGGTCATCTGGATGTCACGCTGGTGCATGACATTATCAGTAAGTATTCACTTCTAAGCCCTCTTATCCCCCTTGTAGGAACAACAAATTCTCCCAGGGAGCTTTGTTCCTGCAAAACAGAAGAGAGTCACCTCTGGCCTCAACTCTCCCCATTTGGGGTTTTGTTTTTGCCCTGAGTTATCCAGATACATGGAAGTATAGACTCTTTCTCCCTCATTCAAATCTGACATAGAGAAGAGCTGGGCTGACTGGTGGAAGGAAGCCTGACCCTCAAGCCCAGCCTGAGCTGGATCTCAGATCTCCCATCATTTGTCCCCAGGCCTCAGCAGGAATGTGGGCTATTCCTGCATTCTATCACACTGAGACCTTCACTCTGATCTGTTTTGTTTTGTTTTTCTAGACTTGCTGATCCATGGAGTGCAATTTGTCGTCAAGGTCTAAGCCTTCCAGGAAGGCTCCTGTCTTCTACCGAGTGGGTGAGTACTGCTATCTAGGCATGATGATGGGTGTGATGATTCCCGTCTCCCCTACCCAAGATTTTTAGGACTGGCTGTCCTTCTTCTGGAGGGAGCATTAGGGGATATGGGATAATGACATCCAAAGAGAGAGACCAACACTCACGCAGACACACATAGAGATGCACAGAAATGCTGACAGGTAGAGCAACAGCAGCACAACTTCAAAGAGAAATACATGTGGGCATGGATACACACACACACACACACACACACAAATGCCCAGACAAGCACACGGTCACTCAGACACTCAGATGCACACACATACACCCAAAAAAACACATGGACACATACGAACATTCACTCAAACATGTGCACGAGACCTGTGGTACAAGCCTGGGCTGCCTTGTGGCTGAGACAAGACCCCTAGCTCCAGGGACTCAGTCAGCTCCCTCATCTTTCTCTGGAGAGTGAATTTGATGATAGGTCAATACTAATAAGAGTCAGTCATCCTGAGTCTCCATTCTGACTGGGGTCTTCTCCCAACAGAATCATTTTCTGCTAATTCAATCTTGTCCAGCTTCCCAGGACTCACAGAAGGCTGGACCTGTCCTAGGTGATGACTGTTTTGTGACCGGAGCAGCCTTCTCTCCATGGGTCCTGCCTCTCCCCTCCCGCTCACAAGGCATGTGTTACATTCCATGATCCTCATCAAATAAACTTGGTCTTTCTCTGCACTGGGAATCTTGTCATTCTTCACCATTACATGAAAGTTTATAGTCTAGAAAAAGTCCTGGCCCAAGAGGATGGGACCATGGAACAGAATTTGGACCTTACATTGCAGATTTTAAAGATCTTAAGCAGGACAGGAAGATGTTCCGATATATGTGAATTTCATACTGATTGATCTGGTGTCCTTAGGAAGGATGGACAGGGAGGCTGTGGGTAGATACAGATAATGTAGACAGAGATGATAATATCAGTTACATAAAAGGAGAGAAAAAGGTGAATTTGAAAGATATTTAGAAGGTGAGATTACAAGGTGTGAGTAAGGGAGCAGACTGAGGCTCCCATCCATGTCTCAGGTTAGAGAGCCCAAGAATAACTGGGAATGTGGGAGGACAAGCTGATCCCAACAGGAAGTTGATGCCTATAATTGTGGTCACTGTGCATGGAAGTGCCTGATGGACCCCAAAGGAGATGTCCAGGAAGCTGATGGTTACACAGTCATCCACTCTCTCCTTCTGCCTACTTGGATCCAATCATGCTGGTCTCTTTTCTGTTCCCTAGCAAGTTGATGATAAAGATGACAAAGAGGAAGTATAGAAGGAAAGACAGACTGGTCCAAAGTGATAATTGCTGAAAGATTTGAGAAAGCTTTCCTGGGAGCTTCCTCATCATGGGGCTAAAAGCCCCATGCAGTTCAGTCAGTGAGATCCACACTCCCATCTCAGATACAAGGACAAAAGGAATCTGGCTCTACATCCTACCATCAAATCCTAGCTTAGTGGAGGATAGTAAATCCATGAGTCTTCCTGTGACTTGAACAACAACCTCTTGTTCAGGGGCGAATCTAAGAGAGAAAGAGAAGATAGTATCTGTACCAAATAATATTCCTAGAATATGTCTTCTGCTACATCAATCCTTTGCTCAAAATTCTGCTATAGCTCACTAGTGCTTTGGGTTCTATTTCAAAGTCTACAACCTAACTCCATACCCTCCAAGATGCAGCTCTACCCTAAGCTCTAACCTTTCCTTGCACGGCTCTTAAAGTGAATCCTTCATATGAATCACCCTGACTTCTCTCCTTCACTTCTTCTTCTGTAACTTTGGTAATGCTCTTTCCCCATCGTGGAATTCACCCTTTAACTCCTACTACCTTTTGAGGCCCAGAAAACTGGATTCCTCTAAAGAACCTTGTTCTGGTTACCTAGCACCGCTCTGACAAGAATATATATCATAAATGGGATGGCCTTAACAAACAGTTTATTCTTACAATTTGGAGGTTTTAAGTTCAAGTTCAAAGTGCCAGGCTCTAGGGGCTAGGTGAAAGCCCCTCAGCCTTGGGCTTCAGCTCTGCCTCCTGCTCCCAGACCACTGGAGCTAGAGGCTTTTCTTCACTCAGACAGCTGCTGGCTGCTGAGGCTGCCACACCTAGGGCTAACAAGTAAAAAGGGACAGTCGATGTTACCAAACCACATGGCAGGCCATTAACTCAAGTCCATTGTAAGCCCCAGTGTTGGTAGAGCATAGCAGGCTGCTGAATAACGCAGCTACATGCAGGGTCCAAGCATGCAGTAAGCTAGAGACCATTCCCCAAGGCTTCTGCTTATATACAGGAAGCAGACCACATTCGTCAAGGCAGCTACTCAGCTGCTTGTGGTAGATCCCACCATGGAGC